CCTCTCTCTTCCTCTCTGTAAAAAAAATCAATAAAACATATTTAAAATAAAATAAAAAAGGTTTCAGAATTAAAAAAAAAAAATACTGACAGAAGGTATCTGTGATGCATTTAACTGACCACTGACCAAGGAAAAGCTTTCAGAGCATGCTCAGGCTCTCAGACACACTAGAAGGAAGGAAAGAAACCCAACAGAAAAATGAACAGATGGCATATTTCCTCAACTGCCATAATAATGACCTCAAATTGGATATCTTTAAAACACAGTCCTGGCCCTAGCCAGTGTGGCTCAGTTGGTTGAGTGTCATCCTATCCACTGAAAAGTCGCCAGTTCGATTCCCAGTTAGGGCACATGCCCAGGTTGCAGGCTCAATTCCCTCTCTCTCCTTTTCCCTTGTCTCTCTAAAAAAAAAAAATCAATGAAAACGTTAAAAAACAAAACACGCTTGTGTGCATGCATATAAGCCTAATCAGTGGTCATGGACAACAGGGGTGAGGGGGCATGGGGGGGGGGGGTTGGAATGGGAATGGGGAGGTGGAATGAGGACAAATATGTGATGTCTAATCAATAATGTAATTTCAAAACAAAACAAAACACAGTGCTGGTCCTTTTAGGGAAGCTCAGTCGGTTAGAGTCCCATCCTGATATGCCAAGGTTACGGCTTTGATCCTGGTCAGCACGTACAAAAATCAACCAATGAATGCAACATTAAGTGGAAAAACAACTCTCTCTCTCTGTCTCTCTCTCTGTCTCTCTCTCTTTCTCTCTCTCTTTCTCTCTCTCTTTCTCTCTCTCTCTCTCTCTCTCTCTCTCTCAAAAAAAAAAAAAAAAAAAAAAAAAGCAAACACACAAAATAACACAAAACAAAGACAACAGTAACAAAGAAACCAGTCCTGCAGGCCAGAAGTTCAGCAGGGCTGGAGGCTGTGAGGGGGATCGGTTGCAGGCCTCTGTCCTGGCATCTGGTGGCTTCCAGTAACCCTTGGTGTCCCTTGGTTTATGGCTGCGTCACTCCAATCTCTGCCTCTGCCTTTAGGTGGCCTTCTTTTAAGGACACCGTTTATTGGGTTTAGAGCTTACCCTGCTCCAGTGTGACCTCATCTTAACACAAAGAATGATAACTAGCCCGCTCTGGTTTGACATAGGGGATAGAGCGTTGGCCTAGCCACTATGAAGGGTCCGAGGTTCAATTCAGATCAAGGGCACATGCTCAGATTATGGGCTTGATTCCCAGTAGGGGGCATGCAGGAGGAAGTCAATCAATGATTCTTTCTCATCATTGAAGTTTCTATCTCTCTTTCTCTCTCTCCCTCTCCCTTCCTCTCTGAAATCAATAAAAATATATTTTAAAAAATAAAATAACACTTTAAAAAAGAGAACACGGGTCACTCAATGCTTTTTAAAAAAGAATTATATCTGCAAAGACCCTAAAGGTCACAATCTGAGGTGCCAGGCAGATGCTGGGATTTGATTGTTTTCTTTTCTTTCTTTTTTTAAAAATATATTTTATTGATTTTGTACAGAGAAGAAGGGAGAGAGATAGAGAATTAGAAACATCGATGAGAGAGAGTCATCGATCAGCTGCCTCTTGCACACCCCCTACTGGGGATGTGCCCACAACCAAGGTACATGCCCTTGACCGGAATCGAACCTGGGACCTTTCAGTCCCCAAGCCAACACTCTATTCATTGAGCCAAATTGGTTTTGGCTGATTCTGTTTTCTTTAGTTTATACTTTATTGATCTTTTCTCTAATCTTCATTATTTCCTTCCTTCTGCTAGCTTCGATTTTAGTCCACTCTCATTTCCTCAGGTTATTGATCTGAGATCTATTTTTTAAAATATTTTTATGATTTCAGAGAGGAAGGGAGAGGGAGAGACAGAGAAACATCAATGATGAGAGAGAATCATTGATCAGCTGCCTCCTGCACTTCCCACACTGAGGATTGAGCCCGCAACATGGGCATATGTCCTGACGGGAAATCAAACTGTGTCCTCCTGATTCACAGATAAATGCTCAACCACTGAGCCATGCTGGCCAGGCTGAGATCTTTTTCAATGTAGCAAGTTATAGCTACCAACTTCTCTATGAGCACTGACTGCCTTTGCTGCATTCATAACTTTTAGTGTGTTTTACTTTTCATTCATCTCTAAATATTTTATAACCTTCCTTCCCCTGGCTGCCAGCACCAGTTTTCCTCCAGCACCTGGGACCCAGGCCTTCTCTTGGCAGCAGCGGAGAAGCCAAGCCTCTTAGGTCTTCAGTCTTCAGTCATCTTCAGTCTTTAGTCTTCAGTCTTTGCTCTGCACCTTTATTTGCAAATTAACCCGCCATCTTTGTTGGGCTGATTTGCATACTCACTCCTGATTGGCTTGCAGGTGTCATGGAGGTATGATAATTTGCATATTTCTCTCTTATTAGTGTAGATTTCCTTTGTGATTTCTTCTTTTACTCAATGTTTGAGTGTGTTGTTAAAGTCCACATATTTGTGAACATTCCAATTTTCCTTTTGCTATTAATTTCTAGCTTTATTTTATACTCTTTCTGCCCCTTTCTCTGTCTCTCTCTTCTCCTCTGGGATTCCCATAATGTGTATGTTGGTCTTCTGGATGGTGCCCCATAGTCCCCCTTTGGACTCAGTTAACTTTTTGTCATTTGTTTTTCTTTCTGGTTTTCAGACTTGATAATTTTGATTGTCTTATCTTAAGGTTTGCTGATTTTTATTTTATTGTAGTGGGAGAGGATTTTTCGTATAATTTAAATCTTTTAAAATTTATTGAGTGTTTTTTCTTCTGTAACATATGGTCTATACTAGAGGATGTTCCATGAATACTTGATAGCAATGTGTATTCTGCTGTTGCTACATGGGATGTTCTATAAATGTCTATTTGGTCTAGCTGGTTTACAGTATAGTTCAATCTTCTATGTCCTTAATATTCTGTTTAGATGTTCTATCCATTATTAAAAGTGCAGTATTGAAGCCTCTGACTCTTACTGAAGAACTATTTATTTCTCCCTTCAACTCCTTCAATGTTTGCTCCCTATATTTTGGAGCTCTAGTGTTTGGTGCCTAGATGTTTATATATGGACACAGCTTTGAGTTACTGTCTAGTGTCCTTTCATTTCAACCTGCAGGACTCCTTTAGCACTTCTTCTTCTTTTTAAATATTTTATTGACTTTTTTACAGAGAGGAGGAGAGAGGGACAGAGAGTTAGAAACATCGGTGAGAGGGAAACATTGATCAGTTGCCTCCTGCACACCCCCTTCTGGGGTAGGGTTTTGTTTTGTTTTTTTAAAATATATTTTATTGAATTTTTACAGAGAGGAAGGGAGAGAGCTAGAGAGCCAGAAACGTTGATGAGAGAGAAACATCGACCAGCCGCCTCCTACCCACCCCCTAACAGGGATGTGCCTGCAACCAATGTACATGCCCTTGACCGGAATCGAACCTGGGACCTTTCAGTCCACAGGCCGACGCTCTATCCACTGAGCCAAACTGGTTTCACCCCTTTAGCACTTCTTGCAAGGTAGATATAATGATAACACTCTCTCAGCTTTAATTTATCTGAGGATGTCTGGATTTCTTTCTCATATATAAAAGAAAAAAAAGTATGGCTGACTGTAGAATTCTTGGTCAACAGTTTTTTCTTTCAGTACTTTAAATATGTCATCCCACTGCCTTCTGGCTTCCAAGGTTTCTGGTGAGAAATTGACTGTTAATCTCATTGAGGATCCCTGAACATGATGAGTAGCTTTCTCCTGCTGCTTTTAAGTTTCACTCTTTCTCTTTGGCTTTCAACACTTTGATTACAATGTATCACAGTATGGGCTCTTGGAGTATATTCTATATGGACTTCATTGAGCTTCTTAGATGTGTAGATTTATAGCTTTCATCAAATTTGAAAATGTTTTCGCCATTATTTTTCAAACTAGTAGCCCTGAGCATGAGTCCGTGTACCAGTAGCTCTCTGAGGAGCCTGCTGCTCTGCGCCCGCTGCCCAGAGGCTCTCCGAGGCCCAGAGGCCCATTTGCAGCTGGGCATGGAACGCTTGCCTTGTTGCTGTGGTGACGAAGCAAGCATCCTGCCAGGCTGCTCATGCTGCCAGCTCTCAGCAGCTGTCCCCCACATCCCCCCAGGATTGGGGGACTCCAGTAGGGCTGAGAGGACTGAGCACCGCCATCTTTTGGCTATGGGTGCCACCATCTTTGTGACAGAGTGATGGTTAATTTGCATATTACCCTTTTATTTAACAGGATATTCTTTCTTTCCTTTCTCTGTCTCCCTCTCCTCCTCTGTATATGTTGGTTCTCTGGATGGTTCCCCATAGGCCTTTTGGATTCAGTTAACTTCTTTTTTTCCTTTTCTCTTCTTTCTTTTTTTTTTTTTTTTTAATATATTTTATTGATTTTCCAGAGAGAGGAAGGGAGAGGGACAGAGAGCTAGAAACGTCGATGAGTGAGAAACATCGACCAGCTGCCTCCTGCACACCCCTGCCAGGGATATGCCCACAACCAATGTACATGCCCTTGACCGGAATCGAACTTGGGACCTTTCAGTCCGCAGGCCGACGCTCTATCCACTGAGCCAAACCGGTTTCGGCTCTTTCTTTCTTTCTTTCTTTTTTTTAGGGAGACAATCCTGTTTATTATCGAGGACTAAGAAACGAATTCTGGAGATGCCCTGCACAAGAGGTGATGAGCTATAAAGAGGGGTGGGTGGAGAGGAGAGACAATAACACGCACCTTTATTCTGCGTGAGCTCCAGCTCTTCTTTCCAGCTCCCACCCAAGGAGACACAGCCCCCCTTTCACTGAGGAGGCAGGAGAACGGAAGCCTCACTCAACTTATCAGGGCAGGCTGAGCAAGAGGCTATTTTAAGCTGATGCAAGCGATCCCTGTGGCCCATTGGCAGCCCCAATCCCGGGCACAGAGTGGGTGCTGGACGTGGTTGCTGATGGTGCCTGCTGGTTCTCTTTTTTTTTTTTTTTTTTTTTTGAGATCCAAAACAGGCTTATTTTATTTACACACAGAACCACTTATTTACAGCCCCTGACATGGACTATGTACATAGCAACACAGCAGACATATGCTCCACGGTGAGTGCTGTATAAATTAAGATCATAAATATGAGGGTGAGCCCCAGCCGAGAACACAGAACCTTTTCTCCCAGGCTCTCCGGGGATCTTCCTCCTGCCCCAACTGACAGGCACCCCACCCCGGGGCACAGCTGGGTGCTGGAGCGGCCAGAGGCACAGCCCACGTGCAGCAACAAAGACGGCACAGGAACGGACGCCCGCCCTTCACTGACGCGCCTCCATGCAAAACTCACGTCCCTTCCTTTTGCTTCTAACTGGTGAGAATTATAAAAATGGCTTTTATGTAAACAGTGTTGCTTTCGTCACTGACAACATATTAATCTTAAATGCCACACACGACCCAAACCTAAGCCTTTCCCACGGTGGGCACTGAGGGCACAGGGTGGCCCCGGGGCCACTCCCCTGCACCTCCTCACCGAGCTCCAGCCTGTCCCGTCCCATCCAGACGCCCTCAGAACCCAGGTGCCCACCTCGAACAGGGCAGCGCCCTGCTGGGACCCCGTGATCTCTCCTTTCAAACAAGTGACCTCCAGGGGCTAGCGTCTCTCTCTTCACCTTCCCCCACTTAAACAGCTGTTCAGACGGGAAAAGAATCACCACTGCCTGGTCTCACGCCCAATGAGGGCATGTGCAGAACGGGGGGCTCTCACTCCAGCCCCTGCCGAGACGCCACATGTGAGCACAGGAGTGGGCACCCAGAGGAACCACCAGTGGGAGCACCCCCAAACCAGAGACGGGTGCCTGGTCACTGCCCACGCTGGTCAGAGAGGTCGGCAAAGTGAGTGGCAGGTAAATGCTGTTCAGCTGTGAATCTCCAAGGGTGACTCTGGACAGTGACTCACAACGTCAGCCCTCCCCTTTGGGATGCGGGACCCTGGCACCCAAGGGGATTGGGGTCCAGGGTGGAAGAGAGCCCTGTAAGGTGTGACTGTCTCTGAGGGGCAGCCAGGGGCAAGTCAGAGGCAGTGATGACTTGCAGGGAGCTACTCAGGCCCCGGCACCTCCGGGGACCTGGTTCCGTCTCTAGGTCTCGGGCTTCTGATCCTCAATGATAAGCTTGTCAGCGGGTACAGTTGGCCCACGTGGACCTGTCGATGAATTATTTCCAGGACTCTCTTGGCTTTATTCACTAGCGTCTGAGTTTCTACAGGATCTTTTACATCCTTATTTCCTCTGAAGGCATGGCTTATCCTTCTTATAGCGTAAGTTCTGTAATTGTTGGCCCTGAAATGCTTGCTCTCTCTCTGCATCTCTGGGTACAGATCTAATGCGCGGCTGGAGGCTGTCATTTTCGGGGGGGAAAGTAAGTGGGTCCTCTTCGCGGAGATCCCGAGTTTAACCCGGTTATAGAGTTTCATCGGGTGCGAAACCCGCGCGACCTCGGACGCAGTGCGGTCTGGTCTTGCCAGCGGCCGGGCCTCTGCCTGGGCGAGCCACGCCCCCGCCTCTGCCGCGGGGACAGAGCCCGCGTCAGCGCTCCAGACTTCGGAGGCCAGATAAACGTCTAATCATTTGTTTTTCTTCCTGGTTTGCAGACTTGATCATTTCAATTGTCCTAGCTTCAGGTTTGTTGATATTTTTTTTCCCTCTGCCTGATCAAATCTATTGAACTCCTCTAGTGAATTTTTCATTTCAGTTATTGTACTTTTCAGATCCAGAATTTCTGTTTGGTTTCTTTTCATCATTCTCTTGGGAATGTTTCTTCAGGGGTGCTGGATAGGTAGGTATTTGTTATTTTATTATTGATGCTTTTTTTTTTTTTGTATGCCTGGAATGTTTCATAATAAAAAATAAAACTGACAGGAGAAGGTTTGGTGATTTCTCAACACATTAAACTTAAAATTAAACTTCCACTCCTTGGAAGATAGATATAGATAGATAGATACTGTGTTTCCCCGAAAATAAGACATCCTCCTAAAATAAGACCTAGCACATGGAAAGATAAGACATCCCCTGAAAATAAAACCTAGCGCAACTTTGGGAGAAAAAATTAATATAAGACACTGTCTTATTTTCGGGGAAACAGGTTATATAGATATATAGATATATATAAATAGAGATAGAGATAGAGAGATATAGATGTATAGATATATAGATATATAGATATATAGATATATAGATATATAGATATATAGATATATAGATAATCTCCAAGAGAACCGAAACAGCTTTTCAAACAAAAACCATACACACATGTTTACAGCAGGACTATTCACAATAGCCAAACGAAAATACAAATACTGTATGATTTCATTTACACAATGAAATGTCCAGAACAGGTAAATTCATAAAGACAGGAAGCAGATGGATGCTGTCCCGAGGCGGGGGGGTGGGGGGTGGGGGGCGGGACTGCTAATGGGACCAGAACCTGAAATGGAGATAATGTGCTCTTCTCATTAGATTTTATAAGGCCTGCATCTTAAGCACCTGGCACACAGTAGGGGCTCAAAAATGTCCCCCTAGTATGTACTCCTCCCCCACACTCTGCTGCAGGAGTAGGTGTACCCCCCACACACACCCCACCACACACTGCTCATGATATCTCTGAGAGTTTCATGGCCTTTGCCTGGACCACACACACCTTCCTGTAAGGATCTAATGCCCTAGCCCTCAGCCCATGTAAACGTGACATTCTTTTGGAAAAGAGTCTTTGCAGGTAGAATTAAGTTAAAGATCTTGATTGAGCCCTGGCCTGTGTGGATCAGTGGTTGGAGCATCAGGCTGTGCACCGAAGTGGGTGGGTTCAATTCCCAATCAGGGGTATGTAACTGGGTTGCAAGTTCAATCTCCGGTTGAGGTGTGTGCAGGAGGCAACAAGTTGATGAGTCTCTCTCACATTGATGTTTCTCTCTCTCTCCCTCTCCCCCTCCTTCCTTCCACTCTCTAAAAAAAATAGTTTCAATGGAGAAAATACCCTCGGGTGAGGGGGGGGAAAAAAAGATATTGAATGAAATCATTCTTGGATTTACAGTGGGCCCTAAATCTAATTATAAGTATCCTTAGAGAGAGAAGAGGAGAGATGAACAGGGAAGAGAAGAAGCTGTGTGAAAACAAAGGTAGAGATTGGCATGATGCAGCCACAAGCCAAGGACCCTCCCTGGAGCCTTCAGGGGGAACAGGGCCCTGCAGACCCTGGATTGCAAACTCCTGGCCTCCAAGGTTGTGAGAGAACACACTCCTGTCATTTTAAAGGCATCCAGTTTTTGGAAAATTGTTATAGCAGCCGAATGAAACGAAAATACAGACATATCTCATTTTATTACATTTTACAGATACTGCATTTTTTTTAAAGGATGAAGGCAAGACCCTTCTCCAGTGGAAAAAAATATATATGTAACTTGCTGAGGGCTCAGATGATAGTATGTTTTAGCAGATGATGTACTTTTTTTCTAGACATAATTCTATTGCACTCTTAATACTCTACAGCTGTGTTTCCCAAACTTCTCTCATGGTGAGAATCACCGGGTGGAGTTGTTAAAATACAGATTCCTGAATCCCAACTAAGAAGTGCTAAACTGGAATTTTGGGGAACATATAGGTAAAATTGTATATTTAACTAGTGCTCTAAACTTAAAAGTATACAATTTAGAGGTCTGCTTGGCTTTATTGAACAAGTTATGAATTGGGCAGCATCCCATTCAGGGATTTTACCTATATGTTCCAAAAAATTCTAGTTTAGCACTTCTTAGCTGGGATTCAGGAATCTGTATTTTAACAACTCCACCAGGTGATTCTCATCATGAGAGAAGTTTGGGAAACACTGATCTACAGTATAGCATAAACATAAATTTTTTGAAAATATATTTTTATTGATTTTTTTACAGAGAGGAAGAGAGAGGGACAGAGAGTTAGAAACATCGATGAGAGAGAAACATCCATCAGCTGCCTCCTGCACGCCCCCCACTGGGGATGTGCCCGCAACCAAGATACATGCCCTTGACTGGAATCGAACCCGGGACCCCTCAGTCCGCAGGCCGATGCTCTACCCACTGAGCCAAACCGGTTAGGGCTAAATATAAATTTTATAACGCACTGGGAAATGGAAAGATGTGTGTGACTTGCTTCATTGCAGCAGTCTGGCACGGAACCTGCAGTATCTTTGAGGTGTGTGTGGTGACACTGGGCTTGGTTCTGGGGAAGAGCACAGAGCCAGACACAGACACTCCAGCCCGTGTGGTCAGGACCGGGGCACAGGAAGGCCCTCAGCCTGAAGGACACTGGGAGAGAGCAGGGAAGGCCTATGGGAACATGAACATCAAAGCTGGGACAGAAAGAGGAATGGGAGCTTGCCAGCAGGGGCCGCCTTTCCAGACTCGCCCAGGCGTACCCTTGGGCTGAAGCTGAGACCTCACTGCCCAATCGCCTACAATAATCGATATCATTCTAAAACACTGAGGCTGTACTCCAACCAAGCCTCCTCTGTTCAGTGCTGCCCTATGAGGGGTAATGCTGAGAAACTGGAAATGTTCGAAAGAAGCAATATTCTCAACATGGGTCGTTCCTTTAAGTCCCACCTTTTAAACCAATCAGCGCGGAATTTCCTGGCCCTCTGCCTGACGAGGCCCCCTGCTTCCCCATGGGGAAGGTGGTCTCACCTGAAAATCATTCCCTCTTTGGACTTTTCTTCTCTCTCCCATTTCTGCCTGGAAAAGCCTTCCATTTCGTAGTTTCTCTGAGCACCTTTCTGTTTACTGAATGGGATGCTGCCCAATTCATAACTTGTTCAATAAAGCCAAGCAGACCTCTAAATTTCCTTGGTTGGATTAAAAAAATTTTTTAAAATTATTTTGAGAGAGAGAGAGAGAGAGAGAGAGAGAGAGAGAGAGAGAGAGAGAAGAGAGAGAGGTTGACTTGTTGTTCCACTTATTTATGCGTTCATTCATTGTTTCTTACCAGTATATGTGCCCTGACGGGATCAAGCCCAAACCTTGATGTATCGGGACAACACTTGAACCAATCAGCTACCTGGCCAGGGCTGAATTTTTGTTTTTAATGGCAATAGAACAGCTGTTCTTGTCCCTCAAATTTGTAGGTTTTAAAATAACTTGCCTTTTGGACTCTTCCAGATCCCCTGCCATGAACGTGTGTGTCTCAAGTCACGAGAAACAAACATTAAAAGTGGGTTTCTGTGTGTTTTGCGCATTTTAATGAGGTTCGCTATAGCCAAGGGGTGAGGGAAAATTCTGGGAGGTTTGGGGCTGAGCCAGGTGGAGGAAATGGCCTGACCCCTGGCCTCTGGCTCTGTTTACCTCCACCCTGGGTTGGCCTCCAGTAGGAAAGCAGTGTCCTGGCCCGCTAAGCTCTTTGCTGGCTGGCTGCCTGCAGCCTGCCCGCCCCACCCCCCCCCCTACACACACACACACACACACACACACACACACACACACAGGCACACACACTCCGCCCAGCTTGGCACAGGACTGGCAGTGAGGTCATCAGCTAAAGATGTTTCAAAGGGAGCCAGAAGGGCCTGGCTGCCAGCGATGCAGAATTTGGTGAACTGGAGCCAATATCCCCCTTTCCGGTCCCCAGGGACTTCCCAGGCCCTCCCAGTGCTGTGTCCCCTAAGAGTTCCAGGAATAAAGTGATCTA